TTTAAACTATACAGCTTGTTTGATTTCTGCACAAAATGTTGCTTTTAAAAGATTCTTTCTGTTGGTACAAACAAAGTTTATTATTTCTGAAGGAGAAAAGGGTTGGGTGACCCAGCTTTAATACAACACTGCTCATGTTAACATTACTGTACATGAGTGAGTGTTTGTAGTCCAGAAAGATAATGTACACGCTGATGCACAAGAATAAGTGGGGGGAAGGGCGGAGTGATGAGTTGGTTGTAGTATGAAAGATGATTCTGCTTTTAATTATTGATGTGACCCTATAGAAGCATATCAATGCTGAAAGGTCAAGTTTATAGAATACATCAATAAATTATTCCCAACAATGCATTTCAATATGACGTTTAATCGTTTTTCTCAAAAGGCTAGTTGTTAGAGTTGTGGCTTTAGAGTATCCCACCAGACTGCGGTTGTAAAAATGAATAGGCAATGGCAAGGGAGGGTATTGAGCTGTCATAACAAGTGTGTTTTAGTCTGAGAAAGCCAACAAAATAGTAAATCGTCCTTCCTGGTCCAGAGATCTCTTCTGGCCATTAGCTGTAATATTTAAGTTTAGGGTCTCAATATCAATATCTAATTGTTGTTCAGGTTTCTTTGGACTGCAATAGCGTCTCATTTTGGTAAATGATGAGACTATTACTTTTGTTATCTTTACCTCTGCAAAATATATTTTGCCTGATATATTGCTGCATTGTGATGAATTATGATATGGAAATGACTTACTACAATCTTTGTCTTATCCAGCCGTACGCTAAAATAGTTGATGATAAATGCATAAGATTCTGACAGACACATGGAATACAGCAATTGATATGCATATATTGATATAGCAATGATTTCCTGCTTTGATCAAAGGGAAAGGCTGTTTTGTCTCACTGGATGTAGTTGTCCTGTTCAGTCTTTGTCTGTAGCTTGTTTCAAATCAAAATACAACACACCCAAGTCCTGCCGTGGAATCTGAGCTTACCAAACATTGACATTAAAATTGATCAATTGGAAATTAAGCTTGACTTTCTCCACATATTTTGCTGGTGCTTTCATAAATTACCCATTGTCAGGCCCACACACACATTACTAGATTGTCAACAACTAATCTTATTGAAATATGTCTAAACTAGGGCCGCACGATATATCAAAAAATCATGTCATCGCAATAGTGCTGCGTGCAATATCCATATTGAAAAGATGTGCAATAAAAATATATATATTCATTTTTTTCCTTTTATTAAAGACAACAAAACAGACAGACACATCAACATTCAACAAGAACAACAAACAAACAATCAAGTTTATAAATATATGCATTTGAATGTCATTAATGTTTATTTGTACTTATTTTTTGTTATTTGTCTCTAGCGTTTCAAACAGATTACAATTTTAAGTGAAAGACAAAAATATTGCAATAATATTGTTATCGAAATACTAAACATTCCTATCGAATATCGCTCTAACTTCCAATATCGTGCAGCCCTAGTCTAAACCAGGACCAAACTGAATCTGTCAGGACAGAACCAGGAGGACCACATTCCCCCCTAAAGAAAAGTATTGTATTGCATATTACAGCTGTAACAGTTGTCTAGACTGGGATTCGTAAACTGTTCATTGGCTGTTTATAGTTGTAGCTGCTTGCATAAATGCTCAAAATAAAAGTGCACGAGAATGATTAACAGTTACTGTGTCAAATATAAAGTGACTAAATAAAGCCAACTGCTCTTGCTGTAATGACAAGCTGGTAATTATCATCAGTGCAGTGCTCCCACAGGCGCTGGAGGGGAAAACCTGCTTTTTCCAGATGACTGAGTCTGAGTTGGATTTGGCATTGTTATGTGCATATGCGATGATAACACTAAAGAACAGGTGTTTTAACGTGTCACTTTTTACTTCAATCGTGCTGCATTAACGCTTTACTAACTGCTGGGTCACTGTACCAGAAATGGTGCAAAAGTGGCCGACCAGATTCGTAATTAAAGCCCTCAACAATCGTGACATTGACTGTAGACACCACGCAGTCGACAAAGCAATTGATGTCTATTTAAACATGTTTATACACAGAGCTCAATTGACTTATTGAAGTGGAGGCAGACTGAGAGGAGGCCCATTGTCTAAAGCTATCAGGGCTGTGGTGGCAGGAAAAACTCATATTAGAGCTACTGTGTGTTTGTGGTGAGGATGGGATTTCTCCCAATATGACAATATGACCAAAAAGGCAATATAAATTCAGTCAATGATGTTCTATCCTGAGATCTGATCTTATTTTACATGGTTTCTCGTATATTTCCTGGACACAGACCATTACATGACAATGTATGGATGTATGTCTTAATATCAACTTTAAATTTTCCTTGAATACCATATAATAATAGAGGCTATTTTATACATATTCAAAAAAAAAATGACGTCATTGGCTATTAAAGGATTCAAATGAGAATAGTTTTTTCCACTTTAATCTGATCAGATGTATGTGGGAAACATGGATTGTCTGCCTTAAACTATGTCACCTCCTGGCGTTCCAACTCAAACAACAGTCTCTCATTTCAAGATGTTTTCTTCTTCATTGTGGGACTTTCTCTGAGGTAATGTCCCTCTGCAGTGTGTGCAAAGCTGTCGACAGTCTAATTTAGGCCAAAGCTGCAAAAGGGCTTCCTCCATTACATATTTATGACCTCTGTGTCGAACACAACAGGAGTAAAGTGGACGGTGTCGGAGGCACCAAAGAGATTATGTTCAGTTTTGTGTTTTAGGACCAAAGGCTTCTTATGTGAGGTAATTACCTCCGTCCTGGGGTAATGTAATCACCAGGCTTTGTTTGTTGATTTTGTAAAGGCAAGACAAATAAAAAATCAATACATATAAAACTAACTTGGATTTTTTGAATTGTGCTATACAAATACGCTTACCTTGCTATTTTTTGCTCGATAGCAATATAAATAAGTTAGACAGATTTATAAAGCTCAGAAATGGGACATGGAACAATATTGGAGGGGATCCGGATCATCATCTGTTTCCAGGATTTTATTTAAAGGAATTTAACTGCTTTGAGGACATCTAGATTAATGTTTGTTTCCGTTTACAAGCAGCACTTTCGACCATGGCTAAAGAATTGATTCACCTTTGTCTAAATGATTATTCTTAATGGAGCTTCTTTACACGGATCTACTGTATAGCCTGTATCTTCCATGTTCATTTAATGTCCGTTTTAATTGACTGTAAGGACCCATCAGCTGTTTCCATGAGCTCTTCTGTGTTTTCAGTCCATTCTGTTGCTGGGAGGTGTGGCGCTGGCCTGTCTGGCTCTGGACCTGCTGTTCCTCTTCATCTACTCACTCTGTCTCTGCTGTCGGCGGAAGAAGGAGGAAGATCGCACCAACGCAGACTGCTGTTGCACGGCCTGGTGCGTCATCATCGCCACGCTTGTCTGCAGGTACGTGGGAACCAGTGTACAGCAACACGATTCACTGACTATTACAAAACACAAGGGTAAAATCCCATGTAATCAGATATGATCTTTCTCACATTGGTCCTGTGCAAGAGGTTCAGTATTGACTTGTCCTCTTCATTTGCAGGTTTCAGAATTAGATTTTTATTGCCATGTGAGAAACATGAAATCACAAACTACGAAGTTGCTTTGGCTCTCGGTGCAAACTGATTAAAAAGTAAAAAATAGAATAAGGCATTCATAAAATAAAAATCTAATAACATTTCCTAAAAATATTACAAGTGCACAAGGTGCAAACAAAAGACATTTAGCAGCAAAGTGACAGTAGTTCTAGTTTCCCCATCAAACCATTATATGGATTTCTGTGCCGATACTCAAGTTAAAGTGGTTCTCACCCCCGCTCCTCGGAGCTTACGTCACTCACATTTCCTGTTCAAATCTTCCTCTAAATGGGCGTAGCCTGGAGGACTAAAGGGGGCGTGAACGAGACTGGGCCGTTTACATTGCTCTGGGCGGGGGGCTGCTGACGTCAGGTCCAACTTGCAGACGTCAGGTCCAACTTCTGTGCCAGTGTTGGCGCCAGATTCAAGATTCAAATGTAGTAATACAGGTCGCCAGCAGATGGCGCCTCACAGACGGTTTTAGGCAGAAAGTTTAACTTTCAACTAATTTGCACCAAAGTGAAAAAACTATGACCAGGATATGTAGACAACACTATTGGACACTCGTTTAAATCGTTTATCAGCAAAAAAAAGTGGATTTGAGGGTGAGTTGTCCTTTAAGTACTTCTGCCCATCAGCGTCTCTACTTTCTGCATAAACTTAGAGAATTTACCACTAACTCTAAGATTCTGCTTAACTTTTATCGCTGCACCATTGAGAGTTTACTTGTTGGTTCTGTGTCTGTGTGGTTTGGAAACATCACAGATAAAGAAAAGAGAGCGTTAAACAAGGTGCTCCGCTCTGCAAAGAGGACCGTGGGCTGTGAGCTTCCTGTTCTGGAGGTTCTTTATAAATCCAGACTTTTAAACAAAGCTCTTAGGATTGTCAATGACTCTTCTGGCCACCCTGGGAAAGTCATGTTCCAGCTTCTTCCCTCTGGCAGAAGATATCGCTCTCTGAGATGCAGGACATCTCGTTACGCTAACAGTTTTTATCCACAGGCTGTTATCAGTTTGAACAGAGCACTTTAATGATTTGCACTTGTTTTGAAACTGTTTTAGTCGATCGATTTCACAGTGACATTTGTTTACTGTTTTATTTGTTTTATTTTTGTCTTTTAATGTTGTTTTATGTCTGTATTTGTCTGTGCACACTGGTGACTTTTGCTAATGTATTCCAATGTGGTTGTTTTACTGCAAATGGCAAATAAACTGAATCTGAATCTGAATCTGACCAAACTAAAATACTGAGATGGTTGGCTGGTTTGCAATACTAATTCTGATTATTGCTATTCAAATCGGTTTTAAAATGATGTTATACGTGTTTCCTTTAGTATATGTTTCTTTACTGACATCCATTTCTGTGTGTGGCTCTTTCTTCACTTCGTTTAATGATTTGCAAAGATATTTAAATTATTATTCAAATATTCTTGATTATTAAAATTGTTTACATAATTGAGCAGCATTTATGGAGGTGGGTGCATAGGTGGGCGATCATTCACTGGTTGAACGATTTATGAAATGGAGAATGGAGAGGACAAATTAATCTGGGGAAAACCTGCAAAGGTCAAGAGAAAGACGTTCTACAATGAAATGGAATATGAGAGTTAAGAAAAGTAGAACAAGTTGAACAGTGCGTCCCAAAGTGGGGTCTGAGTCACTGTAAGGGGGGGCCCAAAGGTTGTATACAAAACCAGCTATTTGGATTTCAGGCAAATCTACAAATATTGAATTGTAATTATTACACAATCACCGCCTTTCAGGACTTGCAGCTTGTATGGTAATGTAGTTTCATCTATAATCTTCTTCAGTATTAAGTGTTATTCAGTGTTTGGGGGCAGTGTTCATTTGGCCTTGAATGAAGCCAGCCATATGTGTGCTCAAAAGTGAATCATACAATTTTAAATTCATACACTACCTACATTATTAATTCAGCTGTTCCACATTCTTGTTCCACTCTCATCAGTAGATAATTCTTGCGTATGAACATTGAACGCTTTTGCTTTATGGTGTCTTTTTTTCCACATTGACGGCTATTCCATCTGCACTCAGTTTATCTCTCCTGGAACAGTGCATTAGTTTCCTGTTTTTCTTGTGTCTCGATGATTAGCCTCTCGGGAAGCATCAGCACAGTCAGAGCAGAAGAGAGCCCGCTCAGGGACCTGAGGAGTACAGGAACTGCATTACAATTACCATCTCTGTTTTTCTACCACTACCAACGTGTTCCAGGAAGGTTTTGGGATTGAAGCATCCTTCTCTTGGCACAATTCCATCAATTTTGACCATTTTCCCCGAGCAACACAATATTTGTAAACCGTTCAAGTTGTCCACTGTAAATCAGATTTTTCTTGTCCAAAGTGGTGTTTTATTACATTACACACAGAGATGTTGGTTTTCCTCTTTGCCCCTGTTCACCACTGCACTGAGGAGAGCTGCTCTGAGGAAGAGGGAGCTCCATTGATTCTCTGAGTGCTCTTGGCTGAACACTGAAGGGTCTGACATGGCATAAAATGGTCTATTTGTCGATAGACCACAAAATCTCTCCTCATTGAGGTTAGCCAAGTGAGACACAACTGAGAGATAGTGTTGCACTCTTTTTTTGCAACGTTTCTGTGCCTTTGTGTGTTCAATAATGTGTCACTACTTTGACTAAGAAACAATTATTTATCACAAATGGTAGTTGTCTGTGCAAGGAATTGTGCATTGCATGAATAAATGAGAGATTACAGAACTTTGCTCTTAAGTGATCTAGTCTTGGGACATTATGTTGAATAATCACACCCCTCTTTGTGAGCTCATCGGGAAAAGCTTTGAGACGTGTATAAAGTTACACAACAACAATGTGGTTTGGAAGTATTGTAACTGCTATGGCTGTTGTGTTTCATGTATACATTTAAATGCCCTGTGCTTAAAATGTAAATCCAAAGTTTTAAAAGACATTATGTCTGAGATTGCAATGAAATTCTACATCAATAAAAGGTTAAAGTTTCAAAAGGTCAAATACATTGAATATGCTACAAGCAAAAAGCCCTTTGCGAAATACCTACAAAATGACTTTACAACTAAATCGTTGTGGATTGGTATATAGATATTTTCAATTAATATTTTCTATTAGTTTGTTATGGGGTAGAGAAATCGGATGTCTTGTTTGAGTCAGGCTTTTATTGGCTTCGGGGTTTGGGGCATAGCTGCTCCATTCCTCTATGTCTCCATGGTTCTCTGCGGACTCTTTCTTTTGCTGTATGTGAATGGGGCCCGTTGAAGCCACAGGGTTAATGCGGAGTTCACACGCCTCCCTCTTCGCTCTGTGTCTTTTAGCAGAACCCTCCTCCTCCTCACAGCCCTCCCCTCTCTCTTTGTCTCCCCTTTTAGCGCTGGCATCGCCGTCGGTTTCTATGGGAACGGGGAGACTTGTGATGGAGTGAACCGCCTGACGTATTCCCTGCGCCACGCCAACCGCACTGTCTCGGGGGTGCAGAAACTGGTAGGTTGGAGAAGCACCCTTAATAATTCATGTCCCGTCTGCGATGAGTTTCCCCCTTCTCTCTATATGCCTCGTGTTTGAGGTGTTGAAATGTGGGTCATTATAGCAACAACATGACCTACAATATGCTTTGGGTTTGACTAGTACCACGGTGGAAATCATCTTGAACGAAGGACTAAAACCAGTTCAGAGTCTTTTTCTGAACTCTGGTTCTAACTGGATAAACATAAAAATATAATTTACTGATGATGAATCAGGAAGTCTGAAATAACAATTTAATTGTCTATTTGCAAATGAAAACGACAAGGATAGTTTAACATACATTAGTTGAACTTAATGCAGTCAAAATTTTGATTTGTCAGATTTTTTTGTTCTCTTAGGCTATATCCACACGAAGACAAAACGCTTATAATTTCAGAAACTTTTTCTGTAAACACGGAGTTGAAGTAAATGTGGGCGTCCATCTATGCCAGACCTGTGTGGTGGCGCTGTGACGCAATGACAGGATCAAGCCCAAACTTCCGTGGGCATGCGCAGAATTTTGTAAAACAGACAACATGGCGAGTGGGCGAGCTGGTACTACATTAGTATGGACGGACGATGAGGTTGAACTGTTGCTTCGGGTCACACTGGATTACAAAACCAACAAGCTACATTGTTGTTGTCATTATTTTCTGAGTGCGGCGCATGCGTGCTTTAACAAGAGGCGGGGCGATGACGCAAGCGTCTCAGATACATTGCGGAGAGGCAGTAACCACGGAGCGGCATATACAGAGTTTTGAAATCTTTCCACTCTGGGACCTACTTTCAAAAATGTTCGTTTACACCCCCCCAAAACGCCGGCCTCGTATGGACGATACACTGGATTGATAAAGTATTTTTGCGTTTAGGCCTGAGCTTGACTTCGTGTGGACAGGGCCTTAGAGTTGTTTTCCAACATCTATCAGTCTCATGCCTGAGACCAAGGCATACATTCTAAAATTCGCCCACAAATCACACTAAAGGGCACAAAAGTGTGACAAAAGGCAAAAAATTTGATTTTAATAATCAGAAGATATTTTATGTTTTTCATGTTTCCAAACACCTCCTCTGTTCATTAGAAGTTGCTAGAACATAACAGTTTTATACATTAGACAAGTTTCCTATAGCAGCCCTGTTTATTTTATGTAACGGGCGTGATGATTTGACGGAATGAGCTTTGTGGAAGTTTGATAGTTATTTTCAGATGTCCACATTTGATTCAGAGATTCTATTTTTTTACACAAAGTAGATGCAAAGTGATACTTTCATATTGTCAAGCAATTAAATGTGAAAACAGACCAGATTTTTTTTTTCCCAAGTTTAATTTTTAGAGAAAAGAGGACCGTCCTCATCACGTCCGTTATACATTTTTCAGGGGGCATTTAATTAATTCATTATTTTTTATTTTTTTACGATTCCTTTTTTTATTAAGTGATTTCCTTCTGTTGTGTTAACCATGTAAATCTTGTGGGATTTCATGTTCTCCTTTTTCAGACTGAGGACATTTTATTTTCTATGTAACTGGCGTCACAGTAGAATGGTCCAATCAGAGGCTAATTTGGTCGTTTAAAATGTTGCTAAACATTTTTATGTCAATCTTTCCTTTTGATTTTTTCCACACTATCTCTTCAATGTGTCTATGTTTGAAATCTTTTTTCCAATCTATGAAAGTAATTTTAGTTTTTAAGTTATAACCTTTTAAAGTCCAGATACTTCAATTGTCACTTTACTGTGAACACACTCATCTACTATTTGTGGGCCATATAACACAAAATGGCAATATATTTATTTTGCTTATACAATAAGACCTAGGCCTATTTGTCAGATTTTTTACTTTTTCTTTTGAATTTGATCTTTGCTATGTGCACTGTGAACTAAATCTAGACTCTGACATGAATCCTAAATATTTTATTAGATACAGAATGTTTAGAGAAAAAAAGAAGAAGAAAAAAACTCCCACTGTTGCGGTCTCAATAATACCAGACTGGATTGACCCAACTATCAGCAAATGCCGATATTTTAATTCCACGCAGCCTCCTTCAGCTTTTTGCCTCTTTTAACCCCATACGTCTGCAGGTGTTCGGCTGCACCGCGTCTCTGAACGAGACGGTGGAGGAGAACCTGGAGACGCTGGAGGGCCAGTACGCGCAGAACGCAGACTACATGTCAATTGTCCAGAAGCTGCAGGGACAACTGGACGAGCTGGTCAGGCAGATGGTAGAGATCCCCTTCTGGGACAACAGCGGTGTTTCCCTGGATGAGCTGGCCAACAAGCTAGAGCTGTTTGACTGGTACAGGTAAGGCGACTTTTTTATTTATATAAAAAATTATTTTATTACACAGACGTTTCGTATTAGAATAATTATTTTGTGTCATCTGTAGGCTGTACAGGCCTCTCCGACTCACCTGATGTGTAGTAATCGAATTTTTCTTTCCTCAAAGAGCAAGAGCTTAATATTATTTGAAAATATTGGTGGATATTCACTTAAAGGCAGACGATGTCAGTTCTTTAAACCAAAGAAAACCAAAGAAATTGTATCAATAATCCATCTACAATGTTCTTATAAATAACAAGCACTTGGACTCCTTTCTTTCTTTGAAAACCGCCTTCACTGAGATTTTAGTATATTTTAATTCCTGGTATCTTAAATCTGCAGGTTGTGCAGCTGACGAAGTAGCATTTTTTTAATAACATGTCATGTAGTTCTGTTCTTTTTAAATAATTCAAGTATAGACCATAACTCATAATTTATAAATATCTGGCCGAAGAATTACCCTTTGATTTTTCTTACTTTTTTCTCGTGTTTGAGCAACATCACTCACCTTGAACATCTAAATTAAACCCCTTCGTGTTACAAAGAGAATTTCATGACATTTTTTTATGTAAAGTACAAATTAAAAATGTATTGATTAAAAATGAATGTACTAAACCTAGATAATCTTGACCAGTGCTTCCAAAAGGTGGCCTCGGGGCGGCCGCAGGGGCCTCTCCTAAAGGTTGTCCGCACAACAATTAAAATGGAAGTCAAATGTTCAAATATCTCACTAGAATTCCAATGGTTATATACATTTACTTTTAAACTCAAAGTAGGACTTGATGTCACAAGGCCAGGACTCGATACACGGCCAAAGGAATACATTGATGCAGCGGCCCACAACAATCAATACTATTGCACAAAAAGAGAAATAATATACTTAATTTTCAAGACCCAAGCAGAGCACTGACTGTTTACATAACGTTTACATATACATTTTACATAGAAGCCTTGAAGTTTGTGCCATTTCCTGACCTGACTTTGTGCATTCACAGATGGCTGGGTTACTTGGTCCTGCTCCTCTTCAACATCCTCATCTGCCTCTTGGTTCTGTTTGGACTCATTCGAAACTCTAAGGGAACACTGATCGGGTGAGAATCAGCTGTGAGAGCACTTGGGAAATCCTTTGGGCCATTCTCAACCATCAACTGGCAATTACTGGACATGAGGATCAGTTTGGGCTGTCCCACCTTGTCATTACAAATTGGCTTTAATTCATGCTCTATAAAACATCTTTATACATTTAGCACAATCTCCCCTGCAGAAGGCCTGTAGCCATAGCGATAACAAGAGACAAAGCAGACTCTATTGTTGAGAGCTACTTCATGTGGTTTGCTCAACTGTACAGTGTTATTTGTGTAATAAAAGTGGCGATAAATACGAACCCCAGGCAGAATACAGCCTGCAGTTTGGTCTCATAGGGAGAATAATGCATGATTTATGTTAGTCACCGTTCAGTGTTCAAAAGTGCTATTTTATCTGCGGAACTATTGTTATAACTTCTGTTTAAATCTGGCTGTATTCATGGGTCTATAGGCAGTTTGGCAATGAACTTGTTGTAGTAAAATACTATCATCATTGTGGAAAAGTATAGTGTTTTTTGGGGAAGCATTAGCATTAGAATTTCAAAATGTATGTATTTATTGTCTAATTGGGGCTGTGCATATTTGTGAACATCTGGATATCCAGTCTGAATGTGCCAAATGATTGCAAAGATGCTTATTTTAACTCAAAGAACAGACATTTTAACGACAACACAAAGCAATGAAGACTTAGGGTGCCTTTTCACACGTTGCTCTAGTAGTTCATTTTAACTGCTCCAATTCCAACTCACTTCTGCCAAAGATGCCGTATTTGCGGATGTAAAGCCGCCAAACAAGTGAATATGTGTCCCCTAGTTACTTCAGGCAGTTTACATTTTATGAAACGGATCTGTGACTCATTTTTCCCCAAGAGAACAACACTTGGTCCAGTAAAAGTGAACCAAATTAATGTCTGTAAATGCAGTTTGTTAATAAAAAATGATATTAAGTCCCTTTGACAGACTGTATACTCTGGCTAAATGTAGTGACTCTTATTGTCTTGATGACGGCTGCATTTTGCATGCAAGTTAAAAATTATTCCGTGTGCACACTGGTAAACCATTAATTGATTGTGTGTTTTTCCCTACTACATGGTTTAGGTTAATTACACTAGTTTTGCAGCGTGTCCAAAGAGTGCTTTTCTGCTTGCTTGACATTCTCGCTGCTGTGATAACGATTGCTTTGAAAGGTGCTTAAGTCTCTTCTTTCTTGTTCTCAGAGTGTGTCTATTTGGAGTGGTGGCTCTGGTGATCAGCTGGGTGTCTCTGGGGATTGCTCTGGCTGTGTCAGCGGTAAGTGGCTGCACATATTTGGTCACATGATCTATGGATGTTGTGGTCAGGAAGAGGTTTAGTAATTAGTCTTTAGAACCTCTAGAGCTCGTTAGCTATGATTCATTTGACTTGAGTTCCATCAAATGTAAAGCAATATTGTGTTCAAATCTCTGGCCTGCATCCAGTCAGTAAACCTGTTTTACAAAAAGATACCAAATCGGCCAATAAATCTGCAATTGAACAAAACAGAATCCTAAAAAAGTGTATCTTTTCAAAAATATACAAGTCGGTTGATTGCTATTATATCAGCCAAAATAAGCTCTGTTTTTAACATTTTAAATATTAGAACCTCTACAAGATAAATAATAAGCAGTTTATAATTCAGGTATCTTCAGCGCTTCCTAATAAAAAATCCATATTATTATGTCTGTTTTACAATCCATGCATTGGTTTTGCTAAATAAATTGTGATACCTGTTAGCAACTTTGAGGCCCATCCATAGACTGTATATATTAACGGAAAGAGTCACGCCTATCTCCGCCGTTCTAAATTGGCCGCGAGTGGTCCCGCCCACAAGAAAATTGTGAAAAAACGCATCTGCGCATGCGTCAGCCGCCGCAGCTCCATTCATTTGAACGAGAGACTTCAAAAATTCACAGCGAGTAAACTAGAGTGGACCAAAAAAATTCACCCCCTCAGCATTGACACACATGTGGAACGGAGCTTTGGGCCAAGAGCCAACTTTTGGACCCTCCTGTAAAGACGTTTTTGAGAGGTCTGCCAACGCTATATGTTAGCATGGGCTAATTCTTCTTCTGGGTCCACCCCCATCGGCCCGGGGTGGTATTGCAAGCATGTCAGCGCATGTCATTTTGGCCACTTTTGAGCCGGGACCCACCCCCACTGGGCCCATCACAATAATCTTGGATCATTAGCCAATGTGACCTCCCCAAAAGAAAGATCTGATTTGAGTAGGATATTCTGCTGGAATGTAAAAGAGATTTAATTGATGTAAAGTTATTCAAACGATGCGTCATTGAGCATTACCTCCTCTGCAGATGATTCAGACTTGTTCGCACTTTCGTCACAACGGCACAGATATTTTAAACACTGATGAAAGTTTCATCATTTAGTATATGTTAACCATTAGGCACGACTAGAGCTGGTGTTGAAATATCCATTTTGTTTTTCAGTCATCCAGTGATTTCTGCGCATCTCCAAACACCTATGTGATAAAAGTAGCAGATCAATATGGAGTCATCAACAAAGGTAACTGGAAAATGAATGGAGTGCTTGACTATCTTTGTGAATGATTATGTGAAACCTCAAACATACTCACAATGTGTACAATGGGTGAGACAGACGCTGAACTTAATAGATTGACCATATTTAGAACACAGGAGCAAATCAAGCCGCAAAGCATATTGAACTTTGCTTGCTTATTTAACTTTTCTAACCTCTGCACGTCTTTAACAAACGCAAAATGTATGCTCTCCATAAATGGGGAAATCATAAGATGAACAGGTGTAACTCGGGATATAAAAAGTGAGGAGCACAGGGACTGGACTCCTGTTAGTGTCCAGAGTCAGAACTAAACATGGGGAGGCTGCTTTTCAGATTCATGCTGCTAAAATCTGGAACAGTCTTCCTGAAGATGTGAGACAGGCCTCCTCTCTGACAATGTTTAAAACCAGGTTAAAGACGGTTCTGTTTAGCTGTGCATACAACTGAGGGATTTTATATTTTTATCTTTTTTTTAATGTACTGTGATTACTTATGATTTTAATGCTTTCTTGTTCTGTTCAGCACTTTGAATTGCCTTGTGTATGAATTGTGCTATACAAATAAACTTGCCTTGCCTTGCCTTGCCTAAAAAGTACTAATGCTAGTTTGGGAAGAACTTGGGGATATAAAAAGTGCTAATGCTAGTTTGGGAAGAAAATGACTCGCTTTACTTTAGGGAGTATAAATATAATGTCTTTCTCATCCTGTTTTATAACCACAAACTGTGATTTTACTTCAAAATGATTTAGACTTTTGGCTTCAAAGATGTCGAAACACTTGCAACACAGGAGTCACTGGAACAAGAACTGGGAAGCAACCGTTGTGCTTTCTCAGCAGTTTTAGTGACAAAACTGTTTAAGAATGCTTCCAGGAAATGTACAGCTCCAGATATTTGAGTTAATGTGTGGGTGACGGTTTTATTTTCTCTGGAGCGGAAATCCTCCTCTTCTGTGGCGTGTACTCAGCTGTGGGAATGCAGCTCCTGACACGACGCCACATAAGCGTCATCGGTGCCATCTGTCCGTTTCTCATGTAGCTCACACACCTTTTATTTGGTATTTATTTTGGTAAATGAAAGTTTTCTTGAGAATCCAATATGAAAGTAACAATGCTGTACATGCTATTAACATCTACTTGCAACAGTGACGTAAAATCCCACCACTTTACCACAGTGATTACTATGCTGCCTGTTTCAACCTGTGGCAACAAACGAATGTGCAAGAAACCGTTTTTGAAAGCTGGTTTTGGAAGTTGCGTGTTTGAAAAGAGTTACTGCTAATCCTTGTTGGATGTGGTCTCTTTGTTTTGGCTGAATTTTCTGTATCAAGAGAAAACACAAGCTTTAAACTGGTATTTATTATGTGTGGAAGTAACATTTTACCAGTTTGTCTGCGCTGTTCATGGGGCTTAAAACCACAGGGAAAGGGCCAGGATATAAATACATAGGTTTAGCAATAGTGCATCCAACTGTGGCTTGTAAGTGGGGACCAGAGCTGTGTCTTCTTAGTTAGTTTGACACAAAGTTTGAATAATTTATCAGGAAATTGAATTGTACACTTTGCTGTATTGGTTTTGTGAAATGGGAAGTGGTTCGCGGTGCAGAATAACCAAGAGTTCACAATTTTAAAGAATTACGCTTTTTTTAGAAAACCACTGCTACTACGGCTTGATACTTGATGTTTGTTTGTGAAGCGAGGATGATGTTTTAAGTGGATGAGGATCCATCCATCCATCCATTTTCTACCCTTTAATCCATTTCTGGGTCAGGGGGGTGGCAATCAGAGATGCCACCCAAGTCTCATAGCACCAGCCCCTCACTGACCCTCTGCAGGTGGTGAGTCCACAGGAGGACGGCTGCTCTCTGAGTGTGAGCATAGCCTTGATCTTTCAGTGGGGGCTTTGGGCAAAGTGGGGTTAAGTGTCTTGCCCAAGGACACAACGACAGCAGTCATCAGTGGGAGTCGGTGGAGAAGATGTAGAGGTGGCAGTAGCTCAGTGGATGAGGATGAATGAAATAAAAACATTGAAATATAATATGTTTATTTTTTGGGGCTGGTGCTATGAGACTTGGGTGGCATCTCTGATAATTGCCACCCCCCTGACCCAGAAATGGATTAAAGGGTAGAAAATGGATGGATGGATGTTTATTTTTTTTGACTATATCATTGCTGTTAAAATGCGATAAAGTATATTCTCACTTAAAATCCCACTGTGCTTAAAACTAAGTTAGATCATATGACTTATCTTTGCCATTAGCAGATAAAACGGTCAAAATGCACTTAAATTAAGATAAATACGCACCTATTAAAGCTCTCATTAGTTCGTTTTTGGACATTTGCAGTGATCCTTGTATTTCTAAACCTGCTTGTGAGCGCTCATCACAGGGCTAGCCAGGTTTATATGATATGCAATTTGTATCTGCCGTTTGTAAACAAAATTATGTAATGAAATAGTCTTTACTATTTGCTAATTGTAACCACTAAAATTGCTACTGTGAATAATTTTGCAGCCCTATCATAATATAACCTTTATTAATTTTCTTCTCTGATATTGCTGACTTTTTTCTAGTATAATTAATACAATTATTGATCCATATTGGCTTTTTTCTCCCCACAGATATCCTGCAGTACTACCTCAGCTGCAGCCCCGAGGCAACCAACCCCTTCCAGCAGGTTTGTGAATTTTCAGCTACAGTTCTGGCTGTGACTCGCTGTGACTGCTTCAGCCCAATTCCACAAAGATGATGTGAATGATAGTGACTGTCAAGCAGCTCTGACAATATTCGATTTATAGTCTGTTGATGCATGTCTTCATAATGGCCAAGAATTCAAGTGGGCACAATGACTCACCCCCGTTTGCCTCAAAGTATCTCTATTCCGCAGTGGTACAATGCTTTCCTTTCTGTGAAAGTAATGAGCGATAGAGAGCAGTGTTTTCCTGTTTATGACCTGATGGCATCACAGCATTAAAAGGCAGTCGTGTTTTTTAGAGTGGAACTGAATGATCATTGCTCCCCTTTTGATCATTTTGTTTTGCTTTTATAAATAAACCATGTCCTTTTGAGTGCTGCGAGACCAAGAATCTACTGCATGTATAAAACATGAACTTCTCTATTTCACAGTGCGTGTCTATAAATGTACTGTGGGTAAAAGTGCCTGCATCTGGGAATAAATACATATATGCGTAGTAAATATAAGTCATCTCAGACGAGGGTCATTTTTGACAAAACACAGTAAAATATTCTCTATAATCTTCCTTTTATATCTGAAGTTATGACAATGGCTATCAAGGGAAACATTCATGTTGTTGATTCAAATGTTTTTGTTTCCAACTCTTAACAGAAACTTTCTGGTAGTCACAAAGCTTTGGTGGAGATGCAAGACGATGTGTCTGAACTTCTGCGCTCTGCTACTGGAGAATACACACAAACCAGGGTAAGCAATGGTCCCTCTGACCCTGGTCTAGCCCCTGGTCTAGCCCTTGGTCTATAGCCCCTGGTCTTTTGTTTTTTGTAAACAAAAACAGTGCCTTTGTTTACTCTCCCCATCTTCTTTACAAGTGAATGTTCGTGTTCTGATATGTTTCTTGGAATACTTACATTATTGTGTGCTTGTATGTGCACACATGTCAGCACCTGGATGTCCATATTAAGCATCACAATTTGGGAATTGCATCCTTAGGTTTTGTACAAGACTGTAAGGTGTTTGCAAAAGAAATGAGCGAGTTCAAAGCAGTCATCTGGTTTTCAGTATTGAGAGGTTTCCAATTCCACCCAGAAGTCATGTTCAATTATGAAACAGAGATCCAGATGACTTTTGATATTTTCTGTGACTTGACACATGCTTAGCTTGTGTGATCAGTGAGTGACTCCAGTCGTCCAAGCATAGTGCACCTGTCTACAGATTAGTGGTCCACCTGGGAGGTCCATTATGTCCATTTCCACACCACTGGACCTGTGCCAATACAGTCCTGTTGTTATGGCTCTTTCACAAATGAGAGCTGACATTAGCTGACATGAAAGGTAGATTGATCGTCGTGCAAAACAAAATGGCTGAGGCACTGGAAAAATTTATATCAGATGAACATGTAGCAAAATGCTTGAAAAGGCATTCAAACTTATCGCACCAAACAATCTGCATCCGTAGACTAACTTGTCTTTGCTGAAATAGGTGGAAAAGGCACATTGTTTTAAAATAGTTGATTTTAAATAACCGCTATTCATTTCCATAAGTTCCCATGGCATTTGCTAAAGAGCTCTTTGATGGAGTTGTAACACTTGGAGGACCTAAAAAAAAAGAGTGAAATAATAATTCAAACATCATGAGATATTTGGGCCTTGCTGTCATTATTTAGGAGGACAAGATGTAGAGTTATTGCATTACTTATTTTTCCCTGAAATCTTTTTATTTACCAAGTCAGAGTTCTTGCAATTATATTATGACCATTACAATGTTGGGTGATGGTTTAACGGATGAAGCTGGCCATATCTTGTGTAGACAAATCCATTTCCTGGCCTACGAACGTGTAATCTCTCTGAGCCGAGTCCTCAACGTGTTATTATGACTACAGTGTTTTGTTTGGCGGCTCAATAACGTTCACACTGACAGTGCCAGAGTTGGTTTTATTCAGTTTTTTTAGTTATCCAGTTTTAACAGTGCACTGTTTGGTTCCCAGGGCCGTTTGGAGGAGATCCAGGGCATTCTGAACGGCACAGAGATCAGCCTCCATCAGCTCACTGCTCTGGTGGACTGTCGCAGCCTGCACATGGTACGCTCCTCATAACACAGAGTGACATCACCGGGCTATGCGCCCTGCTCAGGATCCTTACGTGATATTTATACACACCTTTTGTTTATGCAGCTCCTCTGTCATCTTCAATTACATTATTCGTAACCTTTTCAGAACTGAAGCTAACATTTCTGTCTCGCTAGATCGGAGAGTTCACTGATTTGAGATTCCTTGGGTTTTTTGCTTCCCATTTCTTGCAACGTTTTTCTATTAAAATGCATCATGTTGTTTTTAAAATGTGGATTACCACAGTGATTCAACATTCAAAAACCCGTTGATTTTAATTTGCTTCCTGGTCCTAGTTTCAGGAAGCTGCTTCTGGTATTATTCTTGGTCATGTTCATATGAATCTTGTTTTGCAAATGAAAGGTGCCTTTTGTATAGATTCTGCCTCTAGCTCTTCTCAACAGATATGCAGTTTCTCCAAAATATGGCAGTATCAAAATAATCGTACTATTTTACCGGTTTGTGCTGCTTAACTTATAACTCATATTCACTCCTCACACCACTGGAGTTTCTTGAGGAGAGTTGTACGACTTTCTGAATTCAAATCGATTGAGCCAAGAGCGTCTTAACCCCGGCATGGCGAAGTGTTACTGTCCTGTTTCCCCAAATCCTTTTGAGATACTGTAGGTGGTTGAGGCTTTTTCTAGTCGAATCAATTCAACATGTACCAGTAGCTTTAAACCCGATATTGATGGCACAAGACAAGCAGATTCATTTAAGTGCAGGGGGAAAAGCCATGCTAATTTAAGATTTTACAGTATATAGACACTTTTGATAATTGGCAAGGCAAGTTTGTTTTTATAAGACAATTCATACACACGGCAACTCAAAGTGATGAACAAAAGAAGGTAGAGCCAGTCACACAAGGCATTCAAATCATAAATAATCACAGAACATTAAAAATAATTAAGTATCAGTTGTCCATCCATCCATCCATTTTCTTCCCCTTAATCCATTTCTGGGTCGGGGGGGTGGCCAGAGATGCCACCCAGTACACAGAGCACCAGCCCCTCACTGATCCTCCTGCAGGTGGTGAGTCCACAGGAGCTGAGATCTTTCAGTGGGGGCTTCAGGCAAAGTGGGGTTAAGTGTCTTGCCCAAGGACACAACGACAGCAGTCATCAGTGGGAGTCGTGAAGTAGGTCTTACGGTGGGCTCGAACCCCCAACCTTCAGGCTCAAAGGCCAATGCTCTACCAACTGAGCTACTGTCAGTATCAGTTGTATACACTGCTAAACAGAACTGTTTTAACCTGGGTTTGAACATTGTCAATTTTCTTTTTTTTGTCAATTAAATCCCTGGCGGCCTTGTGCCTCACTGTTTTTCACAAGATTGCACCACAAAAAGTAAAGGATTTTGCTCATGCAGCAGTTGAGCATGTGTGAAAATTGAATGCTCAAAGTAATCCAGATGTTTAATTACATTTGACATACGTGTTCTTATACCGGATGGATAATGGCAATCTCATGTAGGATTTTAATTCCTAAGTGTATGTGTGCTAAGTCAACGTTAGCACACAAAAATGCCTTTTGAAAGTGCCATAAAGCATGCTCTGTTCAATGTTGACTTGAAGTGTAACTGAAGGATATTTGTGGTTGCAGGATTATGTGCAGGCGCTGACCGGCCTGTGCTACGACGGTCTGGAGGGTCTGATCTACCTGGTGCTTTTCTCCTTCGTCACTGCGCTCATGTTCAGCTCCATCATCTGCAGCGTGCCTCACACCTGGAGGGGGAAAGGGTATCTGACATTTGCCCTGTTGCACTAGCCAGTATACAATATTTGGTGATGGTGGTTATGATAGTCCTGACAAATGCAGAAGACAACTTTCCTATGGGGCAATAAAGAATGATCTAATAGAAAGAGTTAATTTAATATTGTATCCCTTCTGTTTGGTGTTTTTATGTGGGGAGCTGTGTTTATCTCTGGTACAGTCCGTAATGGCACAGCTCTTCCTCAATGGGATACAGTCTTATCTTTGTTAATTGCGACGAGATGGCCTGAATCTATCAAAAGCCCGCGCTGGGCTGGTGTGGTTGTGCAGCGGTAACGTCTGAGGCGGATTGTTCTAATTTCTCGGTGCTATCTGCAGCTGATAAGCTGCCGGATGTGTGTAATGAATGTAGTTTCCTGGGCTCAGCTGCAGAATAATTAACTCCTCACTGAAGGAGACTCCGCTCATCAGTCTGATCTCAGCCGGAGCCTCTCACCCAGAACGCCACATGCGCTCTACGGCTTCACATGGGCCCAGTGCAATCAAATGTTGTTTTCTTGTTTTATGCCCAGAAATAAACATTTCATTTTGTACTTTAGTGGGAGTCGGGTAATCAGGATTTGCAATTCTAAAAAGCAGAATTGAAAGTATCTGTTCTGTGCACAAACAAGTGTTGGGGGGGGTAGTGGTTATATACAAGCTTTTGAAAACCTTAGACAAGTCTTAGTCTTGTCTATGTATCAAATTATAGTATCGTTTACAAGTCAAAGTCACAATAGTTGTCCCAGAAGACTTTTATTATTTAATTATTGATTGCCAATTAGAAAATCTAACTATTAAAACATATGATTGGTTATTGGATTAACCAATGTTCATAGAAATTAAGCAAATGGTTAAATGTTAATTGAATTCCCTGTCCTGAAACCCTCAGTCAGTCACCAGTGCTAAGACTAGTTTAATTTTTGTGGAATATAGTCATGACCAATGATTTTCGAGGAAGTTAACATCTGATTTCCCAAAAAGTTTCATTAATGTGTATCAATAGATCTACTTCCTGATATACTTTGTACTGACAACATTCAATTAACCCAACAGCATGAGAACGATTGCTTGTGTGACGAAGTGCTCCCCCTGGTGGCGGTCTCAACAATGGAGTTTTGTTTTTCCCTCAGCAGCGATGAAAGCAGTGAAGACGAATCCCTGAGCCACGGAGGGCGACAGAACAACGATAACCTGTACCGCGTGCACATGCCCAGCCTCTACAGCTGCGGCAGCTCGTACGGCAGCGAGACCAGCATCCCGGCCGCCGCACACACCGTCAGCAACGCACCAGTCACAGAGTACATGTAAGTCTGCACCAGGGAAGGTTGAGCTGATAGAGAACGGGGAATATTCAGGTATCAATATTCCATCTATACCTACTGCAATGTATGTGGTCAGGATCTCCTTTGAAATTGGAATCAAATTTACAAGATTAAAAATGCATAAACTTAAGATACTGACAAGAAATATCAATGAGGGAAATGCTATTCTGTCTGTGGACCATATATCAACACAAACTTAAAGCTAACCTCATTTTCATCTAATGTCCATGCGGAAAAGTTGGTAAAAGTTGTAACTCAAAAAACACATGATAGTTGTGTATATTGTATTGTAACACCTTTTTCAGATAACGATTTTTAGTGGCGATGTGGTTCCTCAATTACAAAGACTTGTTAATATTTGATGTTTTGGCTCTCAAGTTTTTCATGAGTCTCCCATTTTTGGTTGCCAGATTCAATATTGAAGCCCTGTTGATTTTTCCCATCACATCCTCGACCCAAACCACTCCAGACAATCAATGATCCGAGCTTGCACTGCAGCAGAAAGTGCGCTGTTTGCTGGCCAAGACACTTTTGTAATTGTAATTGTAACTTTTTTGTAGCAGTCACTGTTGTTTGCCCATTGAACAATAACCATAACACAAAAACTTCACATTGCGACATCCCTCTTTGATGAGAAGGTGGAGTATTGTGCGTTCCCCCTGCAGTCACTGGGAACTGAGTGATACTACAGGGCTTATGTGCTCAAACACCAGTAGATTTCTCCAGGGAGGTGCAGAGCTCGTCTGCACAACCTCAGCAGAGAGTTGTGGATGCAGCTGTCGCTCTCCAGCTGTGATGTCGATGAAAACAGACCCTGAAGCTTAGCAGAGAAACGAGCCACAAGACACCTCTCTATTGTCATTGCGCCTATACGGTGTCTGCTTATGGCCAGGGCTGACGTGGCAGGATTCATGTTAAAAGTATTTGCTTTCACATCTGTAAGCAGCGTGTTTTATTTGGCTCACTCACTCTCTCGCTCTCTCTCTGTTTGACCTACAGGGCCCAAAACGCCAACTTCCAGAACTCGCGATGTGAAAACACTCCCCTGATTGGACGAGAGTCTCCTCCCCCCTCGGTAAGCCCTGCATTAGTCTTATAAAAAACAAAAATATTGGGAAAAAAAAGTCACCCGGGTTATTTAGTTGGCAGCCTTTGTGAAAACTGCGGTGCAACTTTAAACCCCATTGAATCCTTTGTCTGTGTTGTGGGTGCTTGTACAACATTCCAGGTAGTTTTGATAGCTTCAGGAAGTAATGGAAGCTTGTTGAAATATAGAAGTTTTGAGGAAAGCAATCCTCCAGTGCTGTAGTAGGCCCACTTTGGATACATGGGATAAACTCCTCTTAGTTCCTGTCCCTCGGTCTAAACTTTCCCTTCATGTCTGTATGTGAGTCCACGCCCAGACGCTGCCTTGTTTTCTCTCTTTTTAAACCACACTTCACTCTCCACCTCTCTTCTGCGCACCTCAGTTTCAATATTTGGCCGCGGCGGACAGTAACAGTGGTCAGAGCTGGCAGTTAAAGCCTTCGGACAGCTCCAGGTCGTTTTGGTAACCTCGTCGTCCTCGCTTTCAGGTACAAAAAAACAGCCCAAACTCCCCTCCAAACCTGCGGCTTGTTGCCCCCGCCTAGCACTCCCCCTAAACACTCCCCCCCTCTCACCCCTTTTCAAAGTCCGATCGGGGGCTGCTAGACCCTTTGTCTCCTTGTCCCGACTTCTGTAAATGTCCACCTGAGTGTGTTTCTTTTCTTGTTTTGTTTTCTGTGGCCCCAGGCTGCATGTCACCCTCCCCCTTTCGAATGTAAGAGCAGCATGTGAGGGGTGGGACAGCGGCCTGAGCTCCACATGGGATCAATAACAAAGGAAAGATATGAGATTTATGGGGGCACAAGAAAAAAAAGATGACAATTACATGTGTTTGGGAGGATTTTTTTATGTTTTTATTTTTTTTACCGCTTTTGCTTTTATAAAACTGTTTGTCTAAGGCAAGGCAAGGCAAGGCAAGGCAAGTTTATTTATATAGCACAATTCATACACAAGGCAATTCAAAGTGCTGAACAAAACAAGAAAGCATTAAAATCATAAATAATCACAGAACATTAAAAAGAAAGATACAAATATAAAATCCCTCAGTTGTATGCACAGCTAAACAGAACTGTCTTTAACCTGGCTTTAAACATTGTCAGAGAGGAGGCCTGTCTCACATCTCCAGGAAGACTGTTCCAGATTTTAGCAGCATGAATCTGAAAAGCAGCCTCCCCATGTTTAGTTCTGACTCTGGGCACTAACAGGAGTCCAGTCCCTGTGCTCCTCAGAGTCCGGGCTGGTTCATATGGGACTAACATGTCACTAATATATTTTGGTGCGAGGCCATGGAGAGACTTGTACACAAGCAGAGCTGTTTTAAAGTCTATTCTCTGAGCCACAGGAAGCCAGTGCAGAGACCTGAGGACTGGACTAATGTGGTCGTACTTCCTGGTTCTTGTCAGGACTCGAGCTGCTGCATTTTGAATGTACTGCAGCTGTTTTACAGCCTGTTTGGACAGACCTGTGAGCAGGCCATTGCAGTAGTCTAACCTACTGGAGACAAATGCATGGATAAGAATCTCCAAGTCTGCTTTAGACACTATGTTTTTGATCCTGGCAATGTTTTTTAGATGGTAAAAAGCTGCTGATGTTACTGATTTGATGTGGCTATTAAAATTTAAGTCTGAGTCCAGTATTACCCCTAGATTTCTGACCTTGTTTGAAGGTTTTAGGGAGAGAGACTGTAGGTGACAGATGACGCTCTCTCTTTGTTTCTGGGGACCAAAGACAATCATTTCAGTTTTGTCTGTGTTTAGCTGAAGGAAGTTGTTTTGCATCCACTCACTGATCTGTTGGATACAGTGAAGGAGTGAGTCCACTGGTCCATGTTCTCCTGCAGTCAGTGAGACATAGATCTGAGTGTCGTCTGCATAGTTATGATAGGAAACTTCGTTTCTGCGTATTAACTGACCTAACGGCAGCATGTAGAGATTGAACAGAAGAGGTCCCAGGATCGACCCCTGTGGTACTCCACAGGTCAGGGCCATATGATCTGAGACACAGTTTCCAATCTCCACAAAGTACTTCCTGTCCTCAAGGTAAGACCTAAACCAACTTAGGGCGGTGCCAGCGACTCCAACCCAGTCCTCTAGTCTCTGTAAGAGGATCTCATGGTCGACGGTGTCAAAGGCAGCACTTAGATCTAACAAGATTAAGATTGAGACTTTGCCTGCGTCAGTGTTCAGCCGGATATCGTTTGTAACCTTGACGAGAGCAGTCTCAGTGCTGTGGTGGGGTCTAAAGCCGGACTGAAACATATCAAATGAGTTGTTGATTATAAGAAATCTAGTAAGCTGTAGGTAGACAACTTTTTCAAGGACTTTCCCCATAAATGGCAGATTTGAGATGGGACGATAGTTGTTAAGTACCGTAGCATCGAGACTGCTCTTTTTTAGCAGGGGCCTGATGACTGCAGTTTTCAGGGCCTTTGGGAATATTCCAGAATGAAGGGACATGTTTACTATCTGTGTGAGTGAAGGTAACAGACTGCTCAGAACAGACTTCAGAAATCTAGTGGGTAGTACATCCAAGCTGCATGTGGAGGAGCTCAAACTGGAGATTATCTCTTGGACAGTTTTATCATTTACAGGTGCAAAGTGAGTTAGCTCAGAGAGCCTTTCTGGCTGTTGGATGGTTATCTGTGGATTGGAGACAATGGCGTTTTTGATGCCTTGAACCTTGTCATTGAAAAAATTTGCAAACTCATTGCATTTACGTTTGGAAGTAAGCTCTAATGGCATTTGAACAGGGGGGTTTGTTAATCTATTAACTGTTGAAAACAGAACACGCAGATTGTTGCTGCAGCCTTCAATCATTTCAGAAAAATACCTTTCTCTCGTACTACGTAGCACCCGGTTAAACTCGCACAACTTATCTTTGAAGATCTCGTAATCAACCTGGAGGTTGGACTTGCGCCACTTCCGCTCGGCCCTCCGGCACTTTCTCTTTTGTGCCCTGACCGAGTCTGCTTTAGCCCACGGCGCCTTCTGCTTATTTTTCACTATTTTAACCTTCACAGGGGCAACGGTATCCAGAACATTCAAAACACTAGAGGTGACAGAGTTAAACAGTTCATCTACAGTAGAATACGATGCATTCTCAAAGTTTATCATTCCCATAAATAGTTCACTCGTATTTTCATTTATGTGTCTTCTTCGTACAGTTGCAGAGTCCACTGGTGGTTTGTTAGTGAAACACATGTCAAAAAAAAACACAGAAATGATCCGAAAGAGCAACATCGACCACGTTTACATTTGAAATATTCACCCCCTTAGTAACTAACAGATCTAGAGTGTGCCCTCTGCTGTGGGTGGGCCACTTACGTGCTGAGTGAGATCAAAGGATTCAAGTACAGAACTCAGCTCATTTGCATTTCTGTCATCAACATTATCCACATGAATATTAAAATCACCTGTAATAACCAAACTATCAAAATCTGTGCATACAACTGAAAGCAACTCGGTAAAATTATCAATAAAACTGTGACATGACTGCGGTGGCTTGTATAGGACAATGAAGAGTATTGGAGGAGATTGTTTTTGTTGTATTTTAAAAGACACATATTCAAAAGACGAAAACTTCCCAAGAGACATTCTATGGGAGACAAAGTGGTCTCTGAAAATGGCAGCTAAGCCTCCTCCTTTTTTGTTTTCCCGTATTTCAGATTCAAACTTGAAATTTGGTGGTGATGCTTCTATTAAAACTGCATTTCCTGAATTTTGGTCAAGCCAAGTTTCAGCCATGAACATAAGATCAAGATTATGAGAACAAATAAAATTATTGATTAAAAAAGACTTGTTACAAAGAGATCTGACATTAAGCGTAGCAAGTTTCAAAGTTTCAGTATCAGCGGTTGTGGTCGGCTGATTCTTACACGGAACAAGAATTAGATTTTCCAGATTAGACTTATTAACTCCAGATGTCTTTCTGTAATGTATTCTTTGTGTTATCACTACGGGAATGGCACAGGTGGCTTCATGACAGGGCCCCAGCCGGGTCTCTCCTCTAACTAGACTGCCAGTGGCTGCGAAGCAGAGACCCTGTGCATCCTAGTGTTTAGAGAAAAGAGGGGAAGGGGAAGGCGGGGGAGGAGGATGGAGAGGTGGGTGGCTTTTGGGTGTTGAACGAGGGGGGCAGGGAGGTGGAGGGGTTTTTGGTGATGGGTTAGGGCCGGGGTGGGCTGAGGCAGAGGTTTTGGGTGCTGAACGAGGGGGAAGTGGGGGTGGAATGGTCATGAGGTTAGGGGAGGGACTGGCTGAGGTGGTTTTTGTAGGTGAATTGGAAACCCTAGGTGGTTTTGGAGGTACATATGGGGAGTGGTTTAGCATGTTGGACAGGACTCTAGATCTAGCTAATATGGGTGTGAGAGGAATAGTCTTCATCGCCGATTTTATTAGCCCTGCAGAGTGTTCAGGTAGGTCTAACAGTGAAGGCGGGGATGAAAAACAAAGGGACGTGTCCCCATTCTCTCTTGATGGAGTGGACGTGGCAGGGGGGACCCAAGACAGGTCCATGGGAGGTGGCGAGGGAGTCTTTGATGGAGGGGCAGGTGGTTGAGGAAACCCCAGCACAGGCCTGTCTGCTGTAGCCTGGGGTGAGGATGGGGGCTTCAGAGGCGCTGTAGAAGAAGAAGGCGTGGCTGCTTTGGAGCAGGCTAGGGATGAGGATGTTGGTGGTGGTGGTGGTCGTGCTGCTGGTGCTGCTACTGGTGATGATGCAGCTGCTTCTGATGACAGTGGAGGTGTTGAGATCCTTTGAGGCGGTGATGGTGTTGAGATCCTTCGAGGTGGTGGTGGTGTTGAGATCCTTTGAGGTGGTGGTGGTGTTGAGATCCTTCGAGGTGGTGGTGGTGTTGAGATCCTTCGAGGTGGTGGTGGTGTTGAGATCCTTCGATGTGGTGGAGGTGTTGAGATCCTTCGAGGTGGTGGAGGTGCAGAGACTTTTAGAGTCGGCTTCCTCCTTTTCGATGGCTGCACGAGCTGCGCAGGCTGAGGTCTCAGGGCAAAAGAAAGGTTATCCATCAACACTTTTACTCCGTAAGTGTTCAGATGTGGCCCTTTCCCTTCAAAAAGCTCATGCCTATTCCAGAACAGATTAAAATTCTCAATGAAGGCAAGTCCTCTGCGTGAACATTCGTTGAGTAGGAAAGTATTTAGCTGATACAGACGACTGAATTTCATTTGCTTCCCGTCCACATTTGGTAGTGGGCCACTGATAACGATTTTTACATCCATTTTAGCAAGGTCGTCCAATAAGAGAGAGTAATCCCGTTTCAACTTTTCACTTGTGTTGTCATAGACGTCTACTGCCCCCACGTGGATCAACAATCTTTTTACCCCGCCGGTCTCAGACAGAAGCCTCGGAGCCAGCCGCCTTATCTCATCCACTTTGGCAGAGTGTACTGAGTGAACCTTGAGATTACGCATGTTTACGCGTCTTATCGCCGAATCGCCGATAAAGAGCGACT